ACAGAGTAAAACCTCACTGTCAAAAAAACAAAATAGAACAAAAAAAAAAAAAAAAAAAAAAAAAAAAAACTCTGGGCTGATATTTTCAAGAACAAACATTATGTAGCTGTTGTCAAAATTTGTGCCAATTGGGAGAATATCACAGATGCATAGCCCAAGAGGAACAACCCTTGATGGCTACTTCCTGCACAAATCCCACCATTCTTGAATTGGTTCTCCTTTTGGTTTTATGATCAGCACAGGAATTGGGAGGAAATATAACAAAGGCAGAGTTATTCTATGCTTGAATACATAAACTGAAAGTAATCTTTTCTATTTTAGCAGTTTTGAACTCCTTGGTAACAAAGCGCCCAAGGTAATTCATTTCTATAAATCTCTCCCAAAATTTGCTGACATTTAAGTTGCCAAAAATATTTTATTTTTATTAATGCTCCGACACATTTTTTTTTTCAGTATTTCATAGTGTTGACTGAAAGAAAAGATAATATTTTAAGAAAAGGTGAACAAAAGCAACTGATGTTCCAAAAGGTTTGAACCTAAATCTGATTCCCTTTTACAGTGATTCAATATTTTAAAATGTTGCTTATACACATAAAAGGAAAGCATTTTTATTGCTTTTAGTATTTTGTGATTTACATTTCAGAACCACTGCCCACAACCTTAAAAAAAAAAAAAAAAAAAAAAAAAAAAAAAAATGACTGCCCACAATGGAGTCTCTTTCAATCTATGATGACAGCTTTTCATATGCAATGGTCAAATGTTGTGCTGCTAAGTATGAGCAGAGAGGAGTTCCTTTGAAGATGAATTGATGAAAATAAAATGAAAGGCTTTCTCTTGTAGTCATATAAAAAATACTTTTTGTAAATATTTACTTAATCTTATAAAAGTCTGGCACAAGAGCATAAAGATTACACTCTGGGGCAATGTTATAAATTTACTTGCATTCATGTGAAAATGTGCATTTGGAAGTGAATGTTTTAGTCAGTAAGTTAGAAAGAAGACAGTATTCAAATTTAACCTCACCCCACAAAAAAAAAAAAAAAAAAAAGAAAAGAAAAGGAGACCATATACAATTACTGTTTTCCTGTGATTGTCCATCTTACTCAGACAATAAACTTGTTGACTTCAGTGATTGTCCTTATACATTGTTCAGGACAAGTATTTTGTAAATATGAGGACCCTAGGAATGAAACACTCCTTTTTGCTTACTTTAGTTAAATAACATGTGGGAATTTTTTAACACTGTAGTTCACTTAATACAAGGCCCAGGAGACACCCAAGGTAGAGCATTACTGAATGAAGAGTGTGTGATGTGAAGATTAAAAGGATATGGCAAATAGATAACTTCTTCAAATCTAGGGTTAGTTGTTAAGATTGTCACGTTCGAGGAAGCATCCATGTAGGATTCTGTTCCAAAAGTAGCGGTTCTTGGAAATAAGCTCTCAGAGTGGAACATCTTTCTTACCAAAGGAATAAAAAAGTAATGAGAGTGATTCAACCCTGTTGACATGGCCAGGCAGATGTTGTGCCATGAAAGAAGCTCAAGGTTGGAAAATGAGGATTTTGCAGCTCCCGCTCAGATATGGTAATAATTCTCCATGGTAAGTTTTGTTGCACAGCTTTGGAGGGTCAAGTTTTATGATGAGCACTGTGATAGAGAGAATGTTGAGCAGCTGAGGAACTGTTGGATTTTGGACAGTTTCAGAACTGACAACCGTCTTGTACAGCTGAACCTTCCTAGTAATGTTTTGCTATAGCTTAGAATTTATTTGACAACATCATTGTTTAAAATTAAGAACTCCTTGCTCATAGTACCACTAGTATTTTGAATTGGAGCCAGTTTTTTGCTTTTCCTATTTTTTTTTTTTTATAAAAAAGTAAAAGGACTAAGAGTAACTTATTTTAAGGATCTATTTTTTTCCTTTAAAGTGGGGGAGAGCAATTTAATCCCAAATTAACCTAGTGACTTCCAATCAGAATAAACCCTATATACAAATTTACCCCAACAAATGTAATAAAAAATGTTTGTTACAACATGAATAATAAAGCCCACACACTAATTTTACTTCCAATGACCTCACCATGAGATCAAAATATTTCTGCACTTCATAGCCAATCTCATTTTAGTTGACTAGAAATTGTGTGTGCATGCATGTTCTTTGATAACCTCTAGTAATCTCTAGTGCTAAGGACCTTGTTATGAGCATGATCATGGCATACATGTTGTCAAGATTAGTATTAGAGGACAAAAACAAAGGAAAAAAAAAACGACAAACTCTTACATTAAAAATAAAAATTGACACTTGTTCATTGCCTAATTTACATTTATTTAAATAAGACAACTGAATATATAAAAATGTTTAATCAGCAAAGTATTCTGATAGTTTAAAATACATTGTTCATATCAAGTTTCATATATTTTTAAAAAAGTAAAAAAAAATGTTGATACAATTATCTAGAAAGACCAATAACAGTTAAATTAACTGGAATCTCAATTTTTATTGGCAGTTTTGTCTTGCAAATGTATTTTCCTTAATCAATTCACTTATGTGAAAGGCATTTAAAATATTTTTTATAAAATGCCAGTTTGATGACCGTTTATGGAAAAGTGAATTTAAGTCTGTATAATTTCACATAAAAATACTGATGTATATTTAGTCATATACAATGACATTATACACATAGTTTTTTTTTTTTAAATAAAGAATTATATTAAAGTTCTCAAAACTCATTTGAGTCATCAACAACCTTGAGACATTTTTCTATCACTAAAAAAAAACTTTCTTTAGTAACATCTTTGTTCAATCAATTTTCATAGTGGTTCTCCTCCTTCCATCTTTGGTTTGTAGCCTTATGAGATTTTATACAATTAACTTTCTCATTTTTCAGTCAAAGCAAAATTAAGTCTCAAACCAATTTATTTTATTTGTATTCCTCTTTTCAATATATAACACAAGAATGACTACATGAGCATGCAATTAAGGCCAGAAACTTCTAATGAGAAAATATATTCTTCAGTTGTATCCACTTAACTGATAATAGGTGTAAATACAAGTTATTGGATAATTTATAGAAAATTGGTGCTGATGCAAAAAAAGAAAAAAAAAAGAAGCTATGAGAGTAATACTAGAAAATTTAGATCTCATCTTCATTATTTCCAATGCAATATTTAACAACCAGCTTTATCATTCTGCTTAAAAAGGTAGATAAAATTTCTTTATCTAGAAAAAGGCTTTTTATATGCAAGTTTTTTCTTCTTAAAATATTCACTGAGTGTACCAATAGCGGTGACTTTGTTAGACTAAAGTAAGCAGAATAAAATATCTAGACAAGCTTCCCCCACCCTTGCAAATTTTTGTTATTTTTAGAAACAATACATAAAATATTTAAGAGAAAGACTGGTTTCAGATTATAGTTAATCACCAAGACAACTGGTTTGCTATATATGGTGGGCATCTATATGAAAATATATTAATAGTTACATGTTAGAGAAACAGTTTTTTTTCTGCGTGTAAAAACAATTTTTAATGCAGATATTTCTTATGATGTAAAAGGTATATTTATTAAACTAAATCAAGTACAGCACCAGAATAAATGTGTGAAGAGTAGCTATGAATTTTGTATTGCACTAGTCTAAGTAGGAAGGGTCTGCTTGCCTTGAAAATCAGCATTTAAAATTGTGACTCACATTTGGGTTCAACCATTGATGCTTATAGCAAATACACAATAGTCATAGCTGTAAAAAAGCTAAACTATATCTTATCATGAATGAATATATATATATATATATATATATATATATATATATATATATGTGTGTGTGTGTGTATGTAGATTTATATAAATATATGAATTCATCACAAAATATAAGTGCTGGTTTTAGCTTTTCAGAATGTATCTCTCAAGGACAAAATTGAAAAGAATGGTTTCTATGTAGAAAAATGTCACATGCATTAAAATACAAAACAGCTTTGAAATGAAATTCTTCATATGCAATAAAATGAAAGAACATTTTTAAGAGGCTTAATAACATTTCATGCATATTCAATTAAGTAAAAATGTATATATAATAAAAGTTTGTGCTTATACATATACACATCTATGTATATGAAAGCTTAACTATGTTCACAAATAAACAAAATGTCTAATTATATATATAGTAAAGTATTAAAGACCCAAGTATTAAACAAGAAATGTCAACAGTTATTAGTGATGTAAACAGTAATTGGATGATTACTTTTTTTAAATGTACAATTTACAGGATTATATTGACTTCTACAATAAAGATATACAACTAATTATTCATAGGCATCAAGTGAAGTCAATTTGATTGTCACCAGGTTATTTAAGAACTGTTCTACAGGCTTGTAAAATAGTAATCAGATTTTTACACTTAGTGGTTATTTCTTTCCAGATTTTAAAAAGTACATAACTGTAGCAGCATGTTAAAACATGTGCCTCTTGTCAAAAAAGACCAGCAAAGAGTTAAAAGTCTTATCATTTGTGAGCTTTTAAAATTAAAGATATAATAAAAAAAATTTACACCATACTTGAGACCTTGCTGATTAAAAGCTCAAATTTCAAAGAGCAAGAGAAGCTTAGTTTATATCAGTTTTAAATTTTACAATAGGATGAAACACTTGTATTGTAAAAAGTGTTTAAAAAAATTTGGCAGTTTTAAATAAGAAACAGCCAAGTATTTTTTTTTTCAAAAAAGAGCTTGACCAAACATAGATATACAGATATTTAACCATACAGTTATTGAAAGAGAAACTGGTTCTTTTAATTGTGGTTCATGTATTGGTCAGTGAAATCTATTCAGTATCAAGAATGCAACCCACTTTAGTTGCTAAAAAGTAATTCTTAAAAATATAAAAATATTCTGCTGCTTCTCCACCCCTGTTTGGTTTTGTATTAAACTGTCACCCCTGGCCCCCATCTACAAGACATGGAAATATTGGTCATCACCTATTCCAATGTGAAGGTCATGGATTTGATGGTCAGATTTTATAGAAAAAGTCCAAATTGTCTGGCTCTGGTGGAATTGGTGGTGGCACACTAGGAATTGGAATGCCCTCTGTGTCCAGGAGAAGTAATTTTATTTCCATGCCCAGTAGCATTTCTAAGTCTTCTTTCATTTGTTTACTCCCCATCTGCAAAAGAAAGTGTATCATATCTCAATGTAAATGAATACAACACTTCAGATATTGGTTATTTCAAGACTATCATATAACTTCTGACTAAAGAATGAATTTTCTACAAAAGATCAACAAGCCAACTACTGCTCTACAAGAGGAGCTGCAGTATATTAAGAATGTGGTTTGTTTTGGTTTTATGGCATATCAACCTCAATGGGTTATTTAATGCCAACAAAATTTTTATTGTTGGTAATATATATATTTTTTTTTAAATCTATTTCTGGTAATAATTTTCTTTCAAACATGTATCACTGGTAACATTTTTTTCAAAAAATGTATAGCTGGTGACATTTGGTTTTCAAAAATGTATTGCTGGTAATAATTTTTTACAAAGTATTTCTGGTATTAAAACCTATTTTTACACTTTCATAGTGTTTTGACCCCAGTTACAATTCCATTGAATAAGGTTTTGCATCTTGATTATGTATTACGAATTATGAATTTTTACATGTCCAAGTTTGTTTATATATATATATATATATATATATATATATATATATATATATATATATATATATATATATGGGTGAAGTGTCCATTTCTATATACTTCAGACTAATAGTGTTTTATTTCTTATGTTTTGTTCTTTGAACTTCTTTTGTTTCTACTTTGTTTGATTTTGATCCCTTAGTTTTACTATTCAGTTCTTTTAATGAACTTTGTCTAGATGATGATCTTTTGCTTGTTTGTGATGGGTGAGAGATTTGTTCCTCTATGTCCATTTTCCTTGGTTCTTCAATAACTGTTTTGTTATTTTTTGTATCTTTTCATTCTCTTGAGAATATTTTGATATTTCTATTTCTTGGATTTTTTTTTTTTTTCGTTTTGATTTTTCGGGTTTAACAGTTTTGTAGATGTAGGGTCATTTTTGTTAGTGGTTGATGGTATAGAGTTTGTTTTTCCATCAGGTTCTTTTAATGATCTTTGTATAGATGATGACTGTTCCCTTGTTTGTGATGGGCTAAAGTTTTGTTCCTCTATGTCTATTTCTCTTGATTCTTCACTAAAAGTGGAGTTATTTTTTTTTTTATACCTTTTGATTCTCTTGAGAATATTTAGAGGTTTCTATTTCTTGGATTTTTATACTTTGGTTTGGAATTTTCAGATTTAATTGTTTTGTACAAGTAGAGACTTTTTTTGTTTGAGGTTGACGGGACAGGATTTTTTTTGTCTATGGGCATTTCATTTATGAGTGATATACTACATTTTAGTAGTTCTATTAAACTTTTTAATTCGTTAATAAGAGTTATAAGATCTTGGCTTCTTAATGCATTGTTTTCTTGGATGACTTTTTGCTGATTTGATATTTTAGTGATATTTGTATATGATGCTTGAAGTGAATTAGATTTGACCTGTTTCCTGGCTTCTTGGAATATTTTGCATGTATTTTCTTCTAATTATTTCCTTTTCCTTTTTCCAAATGTTAACTCTTTGGAATCTGCTGAATGTTTTTCTTTACAGTTTGGACATAAAGGAGGCCTATCACAAGGTGATTCATCATGTTCAGTTTCCAGTTCTCCACATCTTCGACAGACATGTTCTCGTACAAACATTCTGAAGATGACCAAATTTTTGACATGACATCTACGGGGATTAGGAATGTATGGTTCTACCTTGGCTATTGTGAAACCTATCTTTATTTCTTTTGATAGAGTCAGTTTGTCGAATGTCAAAATATATGTGTTGGTGTTTATTACTGTGTCATTTCTTTTTACTTGCATTCTTTTAACATCTGTTACTCCATGCATTTTTTTTTAGGGTGCCGTCATTTTCAATTTCTTCTGATGAACAAAGTGACAGTTCTGGGCAAAATGCCCAAAATTACCCCATTTGATGAATTAAGAAATTGATGGGGGTAGGCCTTGACTTTATTGTTGTCAATTTGCTTGATTTTTTAGCAATTTCTCCGTGTCTTATTTGGATATCACTTGAATTAATAGAATATTATTTTTCTTTATTTTTTTAACAGATTGTGGTTTGATCATGTCTGAAATAATCCTTTGCAACACGAAAGGAGACACTTTTGATACACCACCCTCTACTGATTCTACAACAATGAAAGTTGGAAATTGATTTTTTTTCTATTTCATTTTCACTTTTAGAAGTCTCATATTATCTCTTGGCTCACTTATAAGAGATAGCCATATAATTTTAATTTTTGTATTTGCTGTCTGTGCTTCCCACCCACCTTGGAGTTCCTTCTTAAGGGACGCTATCAGGGGGACTAATCCCATTCACCCTAATCCGCCAAGGCTACACAGACAGTATAGTTGTGATGAGAGTGGATATGAGCACCTGCACTCCCCCACCATATCTACCCAAGTATAGTATGATGTAAGGTTTCGTGGCCCTGTCGGATCCATTATCTATCATCCCAACTAGCCCTTGCTGATTGGAATGGATTGGGCTATTCCATCCGCCCATCTATCCCAGGTAGGGACCGAAGTGACGTGTTGTGGAAACTCCTGGTCATTTTATACCAGATCAGGAGTCACTCAGTCACCAGGACTTCATCCCCAGGCATCACGGATCACCAGCCATGGCAAATGGGTGGCCCCATTTAGAGGAAATTTTATTTTTTTGAATTGGGTTTTGTGAATGTGCACTTTTATATACTGCAATTTGTATTGATGGTATTATTATTATTAAAAAACTTATTCTTACACTTTTCTAGTATTCCAACTCCAGCAATTTATCTACCCCAGATGGGACCCTTGTAGGTGCTACCACCTCAGGCCTTATTAATTTATGAATTTAAGATGGTTATTTTGTATCAAAAAGGTTGAAAGGCTGTTGGGTTTCATAATCTTCTGTATTTTTTGGGATTGCTTTTTCTTGTGATTGTTTTTGATTGTGTATTTTAATATTTCACATACATGCATATATATGTCTATAAACACATATACACATACATATACACTATTTGAAAGGGTTATATTTTATTGAGGATCTTTATTTCCTTGAGAAAATTGTATATTTTTTCTGTGTCTGTATTTTTGAAAATTTCTTTTAAACCTTTTCCATTGAGATATTTTTGTCTTATTCTAGTTATGATTTTGCATTCCAATAGAATATGTTTTATTGTGATTAGGCTTCCACATCTGCATTTTGGTGGATTTGTCTTTTTTAATATATAAGAATGGGTTAAATATGTGTGTCCTATATGTGTTCTGGTTATGACGACTTTTTTTTTCTGAGTATTTCCAAGATTATTTCCCCATTTTCCTATTTTAGGTTTAATTTGAAATAGTTTATTTCTGGTTTGGTTTTTCCATGAATTTTGCCATTTGTTTCTTATGTATTTATTTATTTTAGATTTTAAGTTTGTATATGGAATTTGAAGATTTTCGTCAATTGTCATTTTTAAGGATGATTTAGCAGCAGTATCTGCCTTATCTCCTCCTTGGATGCCGACATGGCTAGGAATCCAGCAGAAGATGATATTTTGCTTTTTTTCCATTGAATGTAGTTTATATAGAAGACTTTGTATTAATGGATTTTCCAGTTTTTTCCCTTTTAGGGATGTTAATACAGATAATGAATCTGAGAAAATAATATAGTTTTCTCCTTTGTTTTTTGATATGAAATTTAGTGCTAGTTTTATTGCGTAGGCTTCTGCACTGAAAATTGATGCTTCATTTGGCAAGCGTTTTTTGATAATTGTTTTTTTTTTGTTATTGCTGCACTGCCTGTTTTTTCTTCGTCTTTTGAGCCGTCCGTGTAAATACTTTCATAGTTTTGATATTTTTCTTTTATTTTTGAGAATTTTTCAATGTATGTTGTGGGGTGTGTTTTTGATTTTGATAATTTGTTTAAACTTAATATTATGTTTGGATTTTTGATTATCCATGGTGGTATGTTTGATTGGTTGGTTTTAAGTATTTGATTAGACTGTATATTATTTTCTTGGATGATTCCTTCCATTCGGAGTCCCAATGTTTTGATTTTATTTGTGTTAAGATTAAATTTCTCTTTGTGATTTGGTGTAAGTACACAATCGTGTGTGGGGTTAGAAGGACAGGAAGAGAGTTTTAGATAGTATTGAGTTGCTAGTTTCTCCATTCTTAGTTGTAATGGGGTTCATTTGCCTCTACATGTAGACTCTCTATAGGTGAGGTGGGATAGGCTCCTAGAGCTATCCGAAGGCCTTCATGGTGTATTGTGTTTATTGTTTTTAGATAAGACTTTCTAGTTGATTGGTAGACCATGCTGCCATAGTCCAGTTTGGAGCGGATCAACGTTCTATAAAGTTTAAGAAGGGTTTCTTTGCTAGCTCCCCATTCTGTATGGGCTACTGTTCGCAGTAGTTGGAGAGCTTTAAAAAATTTTTTTTTTTAGGTAATTGATATGTGGTCTGAAGGTCAGTTTGCTGTCAAAGATCATTCCTAGAAATTTATATTGCTGAACTACTGGTATTTCTTCATTTCCTAGTTTTAGAGTTGGGTTATTGTGTAATTTTTCAGTTGGCAGAAGTGTACAGATTTTGTTTTTTGTTTTTGATATTTTAAAACCGTTTTCGAGTGTCCATTTGTTTATTTGATGTAAGCATTGTTGAAGTTGTCTTTCTGCTGTGTTGAGGTTTCTCGATCTGTAATATATTGTAAAATCATCAACATAAAGGCTACAGTGTATTCCTGATTTGATGTTTTTTTTATTATGTCATTTATTTTTATTTTGAAAAGTGTAGGGGAGAGTACACTTCCTGTGGTACTCCCTCTTCTTGCTTTTGATAATCAGAACGTGTAGCATCTATTTGTACTTGGAAGAGTCTATCTGTTAAAAATCCTTTTACAAAGTTTGGTAGTCGACCTCTTAATCCTAGTTTATGCAGATCTTTCATTATACCATGTTTCCAGGTTTGATCAAATGCTTTTTCTATATCAAAGAATATGGCTATTAGATGTTGTTTGTTTAAATTGGCCTCTCTTATGGCTGTTTCTAGTCTTATTATGTGATCTATTGTACTTCTTCCTTTATTATATCCACATTGATATTTTGATATGTGTTTTCCTTCTTCTAGAAACCAACTCAATCTGGCATTGACCATTCGCTCCATTGTCTTACATAGACAGCTTGTTAATGCTATTGGTCGGTAACTTTGTGGATTGTTTCCCTCTTTTCCTTCTTTGAGTATGGGAATAATTACCGATTCTCTCCATATTTTGGGAAATTTCCCAGTTGTCCAAATATTGTTAAAAATATTCAAAAGGTATTTCAGCGATTCTTGTGGTAGTTGTTTAATAAATTCATAGTGGATTTGGTCTGGGCCTACTGCTGTATTATGGGATTTTTTTATGGCTTCTATTAGTTCTGCTTCGGTGAATAGATTGTTGTAGGCTTCTGTATTTTTAGATGAAAAATTTAGTTGGTTATTTATATCTTTTTGTTTACACTTTTGTAGGTTTTGATTTTTGCTCATTTTAGAGTTTTCTGCAAATGTCTCTGCTAGTAGGTTTGCTATCTCTTTTTTGCTAGTTGCTTTAGTGTTGTCCTTTTTAAGATGTATTATTGGGTATATTTGATTTTTTCCAGCTATTTTTCTCATCATTTCCCATATTGTTTTGGTTTTGGAAATGTATTTAGGCTGTTTACATATTTTTTTCCAACATTCCCTTTTGGCTTCTTTAACAGTTTTCCGTGCTACTGCTTTGAGTTTTTTCATTTCAATCAAATTTTGGGTTTGGGGGTTTTTTTGAATTTTCGCAATGCTGCTTCCCGGTTTCTGACTGCTTTTTGGCAGTTTTGTCAAACCAGGGTTTTTTTTTTTATAATTATTTTGCTTTTTTTGGTATATTTTCTGAGGCAATGGTTATTAATGTTTTGGTAAAGTATTCTATCGAGTTGTCTGTGTCCTTTGACTGTATCAGTAATTGTTTACATTTATTTTTGAAACCCTCCCAGTTGGCTCTTTTCAGTTTCCATCTGACGGGGCCTATCTTTTCTTCCTTGGCAGGCTTTCGATTTTCTAGAATGATCGGGTAATGATCACTGCCACATGTGTCGCTATGTGTTTTCCATGTATAATCCATACAAATTTCTGGATTGTATATACTTAAGTCTATTGACGATTCTGTTCCATTGGAGGGATTAAGGTAGGTTGAGGATTTATGATTTAATAGACATAAGTTATGGGTGTTAATTATTTCTTCTAATATTTTACCTTTAGTATCTAGCTTTTTGCTATTCCATATAGGATTATGACTGTTAAAGTCTCCTAGTAAGATTCTGGGTTTAGGAAGTTGCTCCATCAAGTTGTTGTATTTATTGGTTCCTGTGGGGGTATATAAATGGAAAGAATTGTGATGGTTTTATCTAGTGTCACTTGTGTTGCTATTGCTTGTAATTTAGTTTTAATGTGTACTTTACTTTGCGGTATGTCATTTCTAATCAATATTGACACTCCTCCATTAGCTCTATGTCCTGTATTGTGGTTATAGTGGTATTGTTTATAATTTTTAATTTTTAAGTTGGCATTTTCTTGTAAAAAAGTTTCCTGTAAGCAGATGATGGCTGGATACAGTAGTGACATAAGTATGAGTAGGTCATTGTAATTAGATTTTATTCCACGACAGTTCCATTGCAGGATCTTATGTGCCATGGTTATATTTTCATTTTTTGGGGGTAAAGTTACCTACTAGGTTTATATCATTTGTCCTCTCCAGTTTTTTTTCCATCTCTTGAGTTTTTAGAAGCTTTGTCTTCAACTGCTTGTGGTGTCCTTCGGTCAGATTTTTGGTTTTGTTTTGAATTTTGTTTATTTTCTTTCTCTTCTATTTCCATATATTCCATAGGCTCAAATTTATTTTCATTTGATATATTGATTCTTGATTTTGAGTTAGATCTTGATCGAGTGCTTTCTTGCTCTGTTGTCACTTTTTTGTCTTTTTGTTTATTTTTCATTTTCTTAGTTTGGGTTTGGGAAGAAGAGTGTTCGCTGGAGTTTTGTTCTATGTTTTCTTTCCAAAGTTTTTTGCCTTCTTCTGGGTTTATTCCATTTGATTTGGGTTGTTGAGTTTTATTTTGATCTGATTTAAGTTCAATTAAAAAGGTTTTTAATTCTTCAAGGAAAGCTTTTAATTCCTTACATAAATTTCTTATTTCAGTTGAACCTTTTATTTTATCTTCATTGTTTATTTTATTTGCTTTTTGTGCCATGGAAGCATAGGTGTTTTCTTTTATGTTATTTTTAACTTCCTTTTCGTGCTTCTATGAAAGATATATTTTTTTGTATTTTATTCTGATTATTTCTTTTCCTGTTTATATATACTGCATTGTTTTGAGAGGGCAGAGTGGTTTCCCAAACAGTTTGAGCATAGGCTCTCATTTGGGCAGTTCTCTTCTTTATGTTCTGGTTCTTTCTCACTACATTTTCCCATATTTTTTTTTATTTCTACAGGAATCTCTGTGATGCCCAAATTTGTGGCATCTATAGCATTGAAGAGGGTTTGGTATGTATTGTTCTACTTTTATACTTTCATATCCAATTTTAATTGTTGTCGGAATTTGGGGGAGTTGAAAGTTATAATGTAGGTATTAGTTTGTATCTCTGCTTCATTTTTCTTTATTGTTATTCTTTTGACATTTGTAACTCCTTGAGTTTGGAGTTCTATTTTTATCTCCTCTAGAGTGCACAGGGAGAGCTCCTTGCTTTTTACTACTCCCTTTGAGAAATTTAGGGTTTGGTGTGGGTAGGATTTTATTTCTATTTCTTGTAGTTTTTTTTGTCTTATTAATGTGTCCGCATATATCTTTTTTTCTACTTCCACTAGTAATGTTCCATTTTGTAATTTTTTTACATTTTTTGGTATAATGATATTTGATATTGCTTTTTGTATTTTAAATGGAGAAATTTCTGTTAATGCTTTTTTGCTTATTGCTTAGAGTGGAAAGTTTTCACTATCATTTTCTGTTTCCGAGTCGTTATACACATGTGGTCTCTTGGAAGATTTCTTTTTTTCCATTGTTTTTATTTTTGTTCATCATTCTCGCTCCCTACCCACCACGGAGTCCAGTATTGGGACATGACAAGGGGGAAACCCATTCGCCTTGCCATGTCGGGGCTACGTGAATGATATACTCTCTTTGGGAGGAGTCTTTGAGCACGCGTGTTCCTTTGTTTCCGTTTTTCCAAGTATTACGGCTGTGAAGGTTTAGCAGGTGTGTCAGATGAGGATTTTTTTTTCTCCCAAATTGATTGACCCTCAGCCACCACCTTCCATCACATATTTAGGGTTAAGTGTTAGTTTTGGTTGGGAAGAGGAGTGTCAGTTATAGGTTTGGGATGGATTATATATGATGGGGCTTGACATGACCAGCCGATTGATTGGATCGGGCCCCTCCGACCATTACGGGTCGCCGTCTAGCCCAGGTAAGGGCCAAAGTGGTGTGTTACAGGATTGTGACAATATAAGAATGTGCATTCATAATTGCTTTACACCTGGGTTACAACCTGCTCAACCACCAGGATCCAAGAAATATCCCCCAAACATATTACATTTTTTTAAACAGGCTTGGTCGCCACCCACGGCCAACAGGTGGCCCATATGAGTATATAAAATGTTTTTAAAAACAGACATTTTTGTTTATATCCATAATAAACTATACTGAATTTCTATAATCAGAGATTGAGCTTTTACACTCCCTTACCTACTTGTGAGTGAGAAGACTGAAATAATTTTCTCAACAAAAGACAATTTTGACCAGACATGACAAATTGCATCCAAAGAACTCTTTTAGAGAATTAATTTAAGTTGAAATTGTGTGATAGCTCTAAATGGTAGAAAAACCGTTTCTAGATAATTCTTGGTTAAGTTAAGGTGCATCATTTTGGTATAAGAAGCTTCTGTAGTGTATAATTTTTCAGGAAAATATTTTTGTGTGCAAAGTGTGAAATTTTAAAGTACAACAACAACTACTTATTTTATCAAATTTGGCTTTAGGATTGGGATTTTCATAATATCACGAATTGAGCATTTTAATGGAAATTAAAAACTTTTGAATGTTAAAATTATGAACATTAAGGACTAATGAGAAAAAGAAAAAAAGATGACACTGTAAGTTAAATCTGTAAACTTAGAATAATTTCCTGAAGAAATGAAAGTCATATTTAATGTGCTTTGAATGGATATATTGAAAAAATGTTTGACTAAAAAAAAAAAAAATGTGCTTTGAGAAAATCCCTGACATATGTTAATGAACTGTGATTCAATTACTTGAAATAAATTTTTAGGGAAGCTTGATTATTAATTTAATTAAAATTTTCAGATAAGTCAGTGAGGTTTAAAGCTTGTATTTTGATAATATATTTTCTCTGTTAAAAAGAGAAAAATATTAAATTTTAGTTCTATTTGAGAAACAAAAGAGGTTAAATGTTTGTGATACTAATTCACAAACTGCTATGCTTACCGGATTTCCAAGAAGAGTATTAATGCCATCAGTCCACATGTCAAATTCATGCTGACTTGAAGCAACAAAATTCTGAGGGTCACAGGTTACAGGGATCATAGAGAAAGACAGGTTAACTACAATATTCTAAAAGATAAAAAGGATAAAACATCAATGAAACAGGAAACTCCTTCATCTACAATCAAAAAGTTTTGACAAAGAAAAAAAGACTAATATTTTGGATAGAATGTCAGATTTTGGGGTCATTTGTATTACTGTAATACTGAAAGCGCTTCATCAGGTCAAGAACACCCCCTTGTCTGAAAAATACACACCACTTAATCCCACCTTATAAAATTAAGTATCAAATCAGAATATTTTACAAAGTTTTTCCTTTATAATAAACAAAGTAAAATTTGTTTAAAGGATCAGATTTATAGAACAGTCTAACTCACAAATAATGGATTGCAAGATTTAATAATTATGGCAAGTAATCAAAATTGTTTTTTTGTACTTTTCTATAATAATTTAATGTTTTTATGAAACAAAAACTGAATTCAAAGTCTGATTCATAGACTATAGTGTCATCAACCAATGATGAATGTAAAAAGCAGCTGTATTGGAATATGATTGCATGTGATAAATAAAGACATATTTGAACAATATGGTTGTCCTTATAGTGTGGATATTACAACAATAATTCTGTCAAGTTTTCCAAAATATCAAGTTCAGCTCATGCTTAAATAAGTGACATATAAAGTAAAAGTCTTAGTAAAGTCTAAAAAAGTACTTCCATTTGCATCTAATTTCAAACATTGAACAGGGAAAAAAATGTTAAAGTATTTCTTTTCCAAAATGACATAATATAAAGAGGTTACAAAGCAATGTCAGGTGATAAAACCTTTCATCATAGACCCATGGTCATTTTAATTACTGAGGTGGATTGATTCATTTTTTACAGCTTATCAACCCTTTGCAGGTTATTTAAAGCCAGAAAATATTTTTAGATTGTAAGAATTGTTTTTGAGATAATAGTTTAGTGATACAAGTTTTACTAATTAACCCATAGAAGGGGGAAGAGGAGGTGGATACAGACATTTCCCAAGGGTATTTGTGTGTAAGTGAATATAACAAACTCAACAAGAAATGGAACTTGGCTCTCCAATTAACAATTCCAAGCCATTATCCATTCACCATTATCCATACCACCTGCACATCCAAGCATACACCACCTGGTAATCCAGGTGGTTACCCATCTAGCTACTGACCAATAAATCCATGTTTGCTTATTTCCGAAATACGGGAACCAATGTTTCAACTGGATGTGGCCATAAGCTAATTACCGAGGTTTCACTTTACTTGACAAATGAAATGAACAACAGATCCAAGTTTATACTTCAGTTTAATAATGAACCCAGTTTATCTGACCACACACAATTACTGACATTGTACTGTAATTAAACGGCCTTTTTACTGGCCCCTGTGACTTAATACCATGGCCAGCAAGTCACTCTTTTATTCATAGTAATCACATGTATATATAAACCATGTGACTCAATCTTTAACATTGATGTGTTATAGTGAGTAGTATGACCATGAAGTGAGGCCAAGCCACAGCCAAATTTAATAAATAAAAACTCCACTAATTTTATCAGAACCAATGATGGTATAGCAATTATTTTGTTTTGTACAAAGTGGTGGGGGTGAAATCAGATGAAATTCTTAATATCAATTCAAAAGTCTGATTTCAGTCTGAAACTCAGTTTTCATAAAAAAAACTCTTAGCCTTAAAATGTTACATGAAACCAACAGAATATAGCAATTTGTTAAGCCTACTTGTTAAATGCATCTGAACCTACATTGGTTGAGGAATAAAGGTCAAAGGGAGTACCTACTATTTCTATCAACACACTGAAATATTGTTACAAACAAAAAGAAAAAAAAGAAAAAGAGGTTTGCAAATCAGACATTGATGACTATAATATATTGACTAAGTATCAATAACAACTGATAAATTAACCAATTTAGTATAGTGTATAACAATACTACTAACAAGTTTTAGAATCAAACATAAATCATCTAAAAATAAAAATATAATTTAACAATAAGGAATTAACTTGCACTGCCAAAAGGTGTAACAACTTTCAAAGCATAACATTTGATGTTACTATAATATCGTGTCACAGGTATAATATTTGGATACATAACTTGTCAACAATGTATGAGTAGTATCAACTATCAGGGGGTAATCATGATTCACTGACAAGAATATATACATAGATCTCACAATTTGTAAATATCACTGGGAAAAAAAATTAAATAAGAATAAAAAAAAAATAAAAAGGCTTTCTGAACAAAATTTGGCTTACCTTTCTGCGAGTTCCTTCTTTCACATGAGGACATTCTTTGTCAACTACCAAGGATTTAACATCAACAACTGATACTAAAATATTTAAGAAAAAATAAAATCAGGTAACCAAAATTAATGTTGTCAGAATCACATGAAAATAGGAAAGAAGGAGGAGAACAAGTAAAATTTATATGTGCATAAAGAAATCCTTAATTTGGCTAAATAATAAAAATGACCAATATGTAGTAACTGTCCTTCCTGGCTGTTTCCCAAAATCTGCAGCAGAGTGAAAATCTGGTTAATTTTCTCTTAACATTTAGTTCAACTTAAAAAATGTTCAGTATCAAGTTAAACATATGCAATAATTAATAAGAGACAAGTCTTTTCACGGATAAATTTTAATTTTGAATACCTTAATTACTATTCTTGCAGTTATAAACAATTTTATTTAAACATGTCTGAAAAAAAAAAAAAAAAAAAAAAAAAAAAAAAGAGAAAAAAAAAAGTGTAAAGAAAAATTTCATTAAGTTTAAAAGAAAAGAATTCCATAGGGCTCATAACTTAATATTATAGAAATTTGTTTGCATATATTTACTTACACTTATTTGGTAGCTGTTCAATTGTTGGGATAGATTCAGAACTCCAGTCGCCATAGTGGAAAGTTTTCAGGTTTGTAGATAAACGCCAGAACCACTTATCTGAGGAAAAAGAATTTTTATAAATTGGGGAAAAATTTTTTTTTGAAAAGCCATTCTGTTTTCTAAAAACCCCTTTAAATGATATTTCTTTATTTTTTTTATTGTTCCAACATTTCAGACAATCCATTCCATGTCCTTCAGGCTTATTTCCTGCATTAAAAATAAAACAGATCCCTTTTCTTTGAATTCATGGAATTGTATGTGTTGGAAAATTTGGGGGTGGGGGAATGATGAAGAAGATTGAAGAAAGTAGCTAAATAAAACAAAGAAAAGTGAGAAAAAATAAGTCAGATTTTGGATGTAATGTTATCTGTACAAAAAAAAAAAAATGCAGTGTCAATTGCGGAATTTTTTTTATTTTTATTTTAAGCATTTCAACCCAAGCAAGATGCCACTAGTATGCAAGGGGTTACAGAGTGGAAGCGAGATTAAGGAGATGTGATAGAGGAAAGGATGAATAAAAGGACAGGGAATAGGTCAAGGCATCTGGAGATGTCGATTGACATTACATTTGAATAGTTGGAGATTATAGGTATCAGGGAAACAAGTAATAGGAAGGGAACTTCACAGACAGAAGGTGCGAGACATGAAGCTATTAGAGTAGAAGAAACGCCCACATTTAACAGTTTTGAAAGTGAAAGGGTGGGACCGTGATGCCAGCCTAGTAGCACGCTTAAATATATGCAGTCTGAGAACTAGCAAAAGTAGCTTGTTGGAGCAGTTACTGTGAAAGTATTTGTAGAAAAGAAAGAGGGAGGTGATGGTACATCTGTGAGAGAGCGACTGTAGATGAGATGCAAGATTAGGACCAACCACATTGCTTATCCCTCTCTGGATCTTGTTGAGGACCTTAAGGTGAACAGCGGGGGCACCAGACCATATATGGCAGCAGTATTCCATGCAAGGGTGAATGATTTATAGATTTGAAGGATGGACTCGGGCAAGAAAAACTTTTTGGCGCGACACAGGGAACCAACTTTCCTTGTGGTGGATGAGGCAATTGATTCAATGTAAGCGGACAGTGTGAGACCAAGCAGTCACAAAGAGGTACTTTCATGGAGTTGAGCATCAGACATTCTAATGGGTGGCAGGGATGGTTCCCTGTGGTGAGTAATAGAGAGCAGTTTTGTTTTAGAGGCATTAAAGTTAACCAGCCAATTCCTGCCCCAGTCTACAACCAATTGGAAGTCCTTTTCGAGATTAACGGCTAGGTTAGTTTTGTCAGCGATACCAGACTTGCTATTGGGGCAGGAGTAAATAGTACCGTTGTCAGCATAGATGCCTACTTGGGAACTGATGACATTGGTGAGATTGTTAATGAAGATAAGGAACAGAGTAGGGCCCAGGATAGAGCCTTGGGGAACACGTGCATTCATGGGAAAGGAACTGGAGGAGAATATGTTAAGGACAACCTTCATTACATGGTTTGATTGGAATGATCGTATTAAGTCAAATAATCAACCTGAAATTACATATCCCTTAATCTTACGAAGGAGGCTGGCATGCCAGACCCTATCAAACGCTTTAGAGATATCTAGAGCCACAGCACAAGCTTCTCCGTTATTGTGGAGTGCTTGGTAAACAATTTCAGTTATGGCCGTGATCATATCGGCTGTAGAACAGGCAAAGCAGAAACCATATTGCTTATCAGAGAGTTCATGAGATATAAGGTGATTAACCACTTTGATGTTGATTAAAGCTTCAAAGATTTTGCCGAAGAGTGATAGGACGGTAGTTAGATGGGTCAGAAGGGTCTCCAGAGTTCTTAAAGACAAGTACAATAGATAAGGACTTCCAACAGGCTGGAAAGCGAAATTTATTGAGGCAGTAGTTATACAAGTTAGAGAGGGCAGGGGCCAGTTCAGGAGCACATTTCTTCAGGACAATGGCTAGTATCTCTTTGCCATTGCTAGCCTTTTAGGAGCCTAATTTTGAGATGATGTCCAATACCAATTATGGGGTTATGTGCAACTCGCTCAATAGAGCCTCGGTTCTAGGGGGGAAATCAGGTGTGGGTACACCGGACAAATCGAGTGTTGAGTCAGAAGAGAATTTCTGAGCAAAGCACTCAGCCTTATGAGCTGAGGAGGTCAGGACATCAAACTGGTTGAACAAAGGAGGTATTGAAGGTTTGCTGTTGTCAAGTACGCTCTTGCAGAGATGCCAATAATCCTTGAAGCCGAACATGAAGATGAAGCAGGGGATGGGAGCAAAAAACACACAAAAACATCCAAGACACCTCATATTTTTGACGAAATAAAATCATTGTCCTTTTACTATGTGACCAACAACTGTATGAGAGACAAATACACACTACTTACTAATGTATATTCCAATGGTTAGTCTACTTTCCAACCCAGCAAAAGAAAACTAAAAAACAGTTTATGCAACCAATATAAAAAAAAGAACAAAAAAAACAAAAAAAACAAAAAACAAAACAAACTGGAAGCAAAATTATATGAAAATGCTCATCCAAATATAGGCTGAAACCAAATTTACAAAAAATACTTAGTTCTATGAAGTAACTATTTTGTATGTGTTTGTTTTACTTCGCTCTCTTTCACACAAAGGCAAAAATATGCTGCAAAAGGGAACTTCTAGTCTTACTTGTCAAGGTTCACAATAAAAGTAAATATTAAAAGTACCCACCCTTTTTAATTCCTCTGGCTCTAATCTTTGAGAACAATGTTCCTGCCATCATAAAATTCATTCGTTGCTTTTTTATCATTTCCATTATGTTGGGAGTGACCTGTTTCCTGAGCTCACTAAGGAATTCAAGATTTAGAGAAAAAAAAAAAAAAAATTAATGGTTGAAGTTGAAATATTCAGTATTTAATCATCCAGTTTTTATCCTTTAATACTAGAAATATTTAAGCTAAACAAGACCAGCAGTCATGTCAGTGCATCACTACAAATTGAAACCATGCTTATCTTATCAAGATTCAAATACAACAATGATTACAGTTTCATTTTTTTTTTCTTACCATCATAATTTTCTGTGTCATTACATATAGATTATCATTAGAATGAATGAAAGGCCTGATGTATTTATTCAAGCCTACACATGATGACAGAGATTACAACAACAACTAGTACAACTAGCAAAATAATTTAGAAACCCTCACATGATAGGCTGTGCATTTGACTCCCATGCCTCTTTACTTTGTCGTTCTTTTTCCCAATTCTTAAGAATTTCAGCATAGGTGAACTGCTTCAAGAGGTCACGAAAGTCATCAAAATTAAGTGGCTTGTCATTAAGACCCCGGATGATCTGTTCCCGGACAACACTTAACACCTGAAAAAGAATTCAGCTAAGGTAATGTCATGTTGAAAAAAAAGAAAAAAAAAAAAAAGAAAAAAAAAATCTCAAATAAGATAAAATAGTGAGATGATGAAAATGAATTTTGGAAGATCAATACCTATATAGAACAGGAAGCATTTAAACAAATTTTCATAGCACACATATTTCAATAAAATAGTTTATAGTAGCATTCTGATAAATTTATGAAAAATTAAGTGTCATTTAGTTTAGCTACAGTCAAGTGAAAAAAATAAAAAACTGTCCATTCTTCTTGAAAAGTGATTATAGCAGAGGAGTTCATATATGGAAATGATGTCAGCAAATTTAGGCAATATAAATTAAAATCATTATATACTGGCCACTGTTGGCCTGAAAGCCAGTCTGTAGCACTTAAATGAAGTAACTAAGATAAAAGAATATTTGCAATAAGCAAATCATGCATAATACACAGCAAGGTTTAAATATTTATGTAGGAAGGAAGGCTTGGAGAAATTTAATACTCACAAAGTGGCTGAAGGAAAGAGTGAATAATCTACCTAATGAGGTTGTGTAAATGTAAGGTGGACTGGGTAAAGAGAGACTCAAACACTATGTTACCAAACACATAAAACAGGTAACTGTGGAAAGCTATGACTTCCCCTAAACTGAAGGGACACAGCACATAAAAGAAGATTCAGTTTCAAATACACACATACTTATCAGTTGGTAATGCTCTTTAAAGAATCAACTGAAGTTCAGCTGACATGAGCAAATCAACATGTCAATTAACATGACTGTAAAATGCTACCGTGGTTGAGATTACCTTCCAAATCACTTTTGTTAGCTAACCTGCTTTTGTTTAATTGTCTAGGAGAAAGACAACTCTGAATTCAAAACTCAACCACCTAAAGCTGTACAAAAACGGTTAGACATACCATGTCTCAAAAACAGAAACACAATAGCTTTCAACAAATATGAATAAACCTACTGGAGAGATATTTTCTGGAATACTATTGACACCAATAGGCATTGAAACCAAGGAAAGATAGATGGACATTTAGTTCTGCTGCTTAATTAAATATTTAAAGAGCTAACTAATAATATTAGATGTAATAGTCTATGACTTGTTTAGATGAAGCAATATTTTTATTAGTTTTAACATTATTTCTAGTGGATACTCTTGTTCGAGTAGACACTCAGTTTATTTTAAACAGTATATTATTTCGTCTACTTCCCTGCACATTCAAGAAAATTTTTCTGTAAGTTTTCAATTGTGCAGGCCGGTAGATGAAATAAAATACTGTTTAAAATAAATGGAGTGTCTACTCAAATACAAGTATCCACTAAAATAATATTTAAAATCCCTTAGTTCTTTAGAAATCAAGTAATACATTTAATAATAATTTTTAATTCTTTCTTTCATCTTATTTCTGTTATGATGTTGTCTGTTTATTCAAATTGTCACAGAATAAGAAATACAATAAATTTCAACAGAAATAATGAAAAGGCAAGTCAAAATTAAGAGTTTGTTTAACTTTGTTGTTATATAATCACTAGAAACAAATATAAAATTCCTTTCTAAATCTTTAATCTATGAACAACCAATGATCAAAATATCAGTTTTTCTATCAAATTTAACAAAACAGCAAGTATATATGGATCTAATTGCTGTTAAAAAAAAAAAAAAAAAAAAAATTTTCTTAATATTCTCTTTTCTCCTCCTCCATCATCAATGAAGAAACATCAATTTACTAATAAAATATGTTTAAACTGAATAGATTGAAATACTCCCCCAAATCTTTTATATCTGTCCCTAAATAAAAATTGATTATCTATATTTTCATCTTTAGCAATTTATCTAAAAGACAGTTTAAAAATAAAAAAAATAAATTTTGAAAAGAGGTCGAAGTGAGGAGTTTGAAATAAATTTTGTTTTAATGACTTGTATTCATTTCAGATAAAAGTTAAAATCTGGCTTTGATCTCCACAACAAAATGACAGACATCATTTAAAATTTTTGTGAGGAGTTGTTGAAAAGTTTTCAACCCAACCAAGAAGCCCTTCAAAGAAATGCTGATGTTTGGCCATTTGGAAAGTGAGCTGGACTAAGAACATTTCAACAACTGCTCATATACATGGTGTCTTTTTCTTGACACACCACTAAATGTCAATACTTATTTGAAATTTGATTATTTCAAGTTTGTAATAAATTCAAAAACATCTTGAGTTCTAAAAGTAATAAAGAAAAAAATATTTAAGCTTTAATTTAGTGCAGTTCCTGATAATTAAATAACTTCTTTGTAAAAAAGGGATTAAAAACTACACAGCAATAATAAATCTCTGAAATATACCAGTTTAGATTTATTTTGCTTTTAGTAATTTATACAAGTTTTATAAACTGATTATTTCAAAGTTTATTATACATTCTAGTTTGTAATTTAAATGACTGACATTAAAAGATTGTTGCAAATGTGCTTACCTTCTGGAAGTCTTGTGTTGTTGCCCTCATCTCTTTCCATGTTTTATTCCACAACTGGATACAAGTGCTGAAAAATTCTTCAAATGGCCGATCATGACTAAAGAAAATTCGATGATAGGTACTGCACTCTTCTGATGCTGAGAGAGGATGGAAGAAAAAAAAAAAAAAAAAAAGAAAAAAAAAAAAGAAAATTAAAAGGAAATCAGTGAAATCAATGTCATGAATATTGAAGCATAATAATAAGTATTACCACATAATTTTATAAGTAATAATACTGTCACATTATTGATTAGGACCACTTACAATGCTAAGTAAGATAATCTCTCAAACAATTCATAGTGAATTTGTTCTTCGCCAGATAATTACATTAATGAGAATGAAGCTGCCACAGTTAAATATCTCTATATTAATATTTGCAACAACTTATATACCTAAGATGGGGACAATGCTTTGTACCCTCCCCTATAAGATTGTTAATGAAATCAGTATAATTTACTAAACACAAATGTAAGTAATGTTTCTATCAGGATGTAAATTCATATACTATTCAATGAAATAAGATTTACATGAACAAAGTTAAGCAGAGCAGAATAAAACAAGAGGATTTTGTTCTTTTCTTATTAAGAACAAATACCTCAGTTTGGGGAGGTAACTCAAGTAAAAACTGAAGCTGGAAGAAGGAAACTATATAGGAGATTCAAACCCAGAATCAACTAAAGGTTACAAATCACAACTTTGTAAAACTAATGCAAAAGAGACATCCCCTTTTCTTCTAGGGATTTTTTCAGGTTGATAAAATGGCCCACACTTAAAAACACACTTTGTACATTTGGTTATTAAGGAAAAAAATCATTTTAAAATCTTTTACAACTTTCTCTTAGAAATCTGGAACAAAATCTTAATATTTCATAATTTCCTATTAGCCCTTATTTAAGGAATTCAGGTTATGGTTTGGTTTATAGAAATTTTGTTGACATCTAAAACTTGTCAAACTTCTTTAAATGAAACCCTTTATTTTACACACACATAACTCTGGCTTACAAAAGCAACCTGATATGCTTTGCAAGGAAGTTGCACAACCAACTGCCTGCTTCAACACACATCAGTGACAAACTCCATTTTGTACTTAATGTAACAGAGGAAATAAATATTTGTTAAGTTTTAAATACACCTTTTCATTTCCTGTCTTGGTAATAAATATTTGACAACACAGTAAATAATTCAACATCCAAGATCTAGAGAGAGAGAGAGAGAGAAAAAACCCCACCTGACTCTTCATCACTGCATTATATTTGGTGTCCAACAATGACAAATACAACTGTTCTTATATTACAAATGTACTTTTCCAATGAATCAAATTTTAAGTCATAAACAAAATAAGCAAATTTTAAGTTCACAAAATAACAATGTGTTACAAGTAAAAAAAAAAAATTCTTTTTCTTTTTAATTATATATGCTGTTTTAATTTGATCAAAAGTTCATTTCAATGGACAATTTTGATTCAAGAAATTGTTGCAGCTTCTAGTTTAGGTCTGTCCCATATAACGCTAAAAAGTGGTATACCCTGGAGAAAAAGGTCCCCAAATTGATAAAAAAAAATTTTAACATGTTTATGTTAGTATTAAAGAGGAAAGACCAAAGTATTTTCTGAATATTTTTTCAGATTTTTTAATCCTTCCTATAAATGTTAAAAATTTTACTTAAAAATCTTGTTTTTCTCGAATCACAAAAATTTCGTAAATTCAATCTTAGCCATTTCTGCCCAAGTTTGTAAACAAAATCAAATGTATCAAACAAAAATCATGTAAAATTCAGTTACACATTTTTCTTTTGTTATCTTAGGAAATTTAGAATGATTAAAGTATACTTAATGTAATTTGAAACAAACATTACTTACTTTTTTAGCAAAAAATTTTTTAATAGAGATATTTCCAACCATGGTGCTTGCTTAGGTGCGTGCTTGAGGGGCGTTAATTAATGTACGTCAATATATTGACAACTTACGTTAGGGGAATTTATCGTACGGTAGCACAGAAGTGATGTAATTCGTTCTAATTTTAAGTGAACCTGGTTAGTAAATTAAAAAAAAAAAATTCACTTTCAAATTTTTTTCTTTTAACCTTACGTTTGAGGAAAAAATTTTTGCACTTTAAATTATGAAAAAAAAAATCAAATTTTACAAGTAAAAATAAAACAGTAACAACATTTTTTTTTAAATCGAGTTGTATTATTTGTCATGAAATATTTTTTCTGAGAATATAAAATTACATGAAACACCATTAAATTTCATAATTGAAACAGGTTAACTTAATGAAATGAGATTTTATTTCTTTTTATTAAAGGCAGACTTTTTTTTCTATTTATTAATACTTGTGATATGGCAGTCATGGAGTTTTATACATATTTTATTTATTAATAAAATTAACATTGAAATGCTATGCAATTGATTTCAAACTTTGCTGTGTTGTTAACTGAACGAATGCAAAGCAATTTCTGAAGTAAAAGAACTTGCTTCTATCAAGAGAAACAAGTCTACCTCATGTGACATTATTTCGAAGCTGTGCATCCATACTTTCGTTGGAGACGATTTTAAATACAATTTTGGAATATTAAAAAATTATTTTAAAAATATCAACCGTTGTCAAATTTTAATGAGCTTTCAAATTTATGATCTTTAAAAAGTAGAGAACATAATGTCATTTCCATAAGGTTGCATAAAGAAACTTAATTTTAAAATATATAACAACATTTTGTCATATTGTGTATTTAAAATAGAAAAAAAGAAAAAATTATTGTAAAAATTCATTTTTCATCAAAAATTTTTTTTTTTCTTTCAGATAAAAATTACCTTAGTATATGCTATTCAGAAAAGTCATAAAAAGCTTTTTTAATTAAATATTGTCTTAGTTTTATTGGGTTTTGTATTTTTACAATTGAGGTAAAAGTTTGGACAATTTTTCAAAAAAGAAAAAAAAAAAAATTGATGATTTAGAATCTTCAGTCTTGTGCATTTAATTGAAAAAAAAAAAAAAAGTTTTCATAAAATTAAATTCGAGGGGTGTAACATATATAAAAAAAAATATTCATACCATGACTTTCAAAAAGACAAACATTTCTAAAATAATTTCATTCATTTGTGAATAAGTTCTGAAGGTTTCATTAAATTCCAACAAGTACTTGATTTTTGCAAGATTTTCCAAATCAATGTGTTTTTCTTCTACTGAAAACAGTGAAAAACAAGTAATGCTAATTATTACCTAATTTTTCACCTAAAAAAAAAAAAAAAAAACAAGATTTTCAACCTAAATTTAAAACATGCTGCAAATGAAAAAAAATTTTTTTTTAAATAATTGAAAAATACCTTGGTCTTTAATAAAAACAAAATTTTATTGTGAAATGTTTGTTATTAAGTTTGTGATTAAGTTTGGGGGCATTTTTTCTTCATGCTATGCGTTTTTGGGCAACAAAAAGGACAGACCTATTCTAGTTCAAAAGAATATTCCATACAAAATCTCTTGATCAAATTGATACAGTAAGCCCAAACTTGATAGGTCAAGCTTCAGTGCTCAATGAGATGAATGACGACAAAATTAGCAAGATTACCAACAGTTAACTAAAGTCACTTCAAGTCTTTATATTAACCACAACAGAATTTCTTATTCTGCCACATTTTAAGCTAATTTTCTGATGACAATATAAATTATTTAATTTTCAATGCTAGAGGGTTACAGTTATTTATTTGGGAATTATATCAGAATCATACATAATGTATTATATCTCAAACTGAAAGGAAAACATGCTCTATTGATTCATTCCCCCACTTCACATCAGACTTACAATAATGATTGCTACAGTGCAGATAAGACTTTGGTCAAAATAGATTCCCAGGTAAGTAAAAATCATAAGCAACTGAGAGAAGAGAATGTTGCGGGATGTACATGGAGTGAAATGTATCAGAAGGTAAATTTATGTAAGACGAAGATTATGTGTGCTTGTAATGTCAGTATAGTATCCAACAACATATATATTACACAAACAATTTAAGGACAATTTGCATGGCAAGAAATTACTAAACACATTTGTTAGAGAATCTAACAATAAAGAAATTTTTATATCGACAATAAATACATATGTGATGACAATCAAAATGTTTGTTGTTATAATAACTAAGATAATGTTATAAAGAATGTTTATGCAGAAATGTAGTTAAGAAATGTTGATGCTTTTTTGATTGTTAGAAAAATTAAAATAACTCTGTTTCTGCAAACAAAAATGTCAAATGTATTCGTTCATTTATCAGTGTGTGTATGTGCGTAATTTAGAAGTAAGGATAAATGTTGTCAAGAGTTGCTTACCTTTAACGGATAGCTAAATTGGTAAAGTGTAGAATTACTTTTTAGTAGTGAAAATGTTCACTTTTTAAGTCAATTGTAGATGTTGGTTAAACATGCGGACAATGGTTGACGAATGCTTTGCTGAGTTTGTTGAGATTTCAATGTGGTGTGTGAGTCAGTGAATTGACACGCGTGGAGTTTGGTAGCATCTCATGAAACTATGACTGACTGTCTGAATTGTCACGCGGTTATTTTTATAGACTTTTGTGTAGCAAAATCGGCTCCAAAGAGCTTGGCGGGAAATAGGGTTTGCCTGGAACTTTGCTACAATTTGGTGTTTATTAGCCAATAGAGGATTGAATTTGCAGAAACAAGATGATGATTGGTTAAAGGCTTTTTAGTGAAGAATACATCTTTCTGAAAGGGGTGAAAGGCTAATGCGGAAGATTCCACAAGAGAACTACAAAAGCATGGTCATACTCACGGGGTTCACCAATCTTTAGAATTTCACAAAGGATCTTCGCCAGATAAATGCTAGCCTGAGCAAATGGACAATCATGTTCATCAGCACGACTACAATTCTCCAGCACAACCTAGATAACAAAAATAAAAATCATTAACTACATTTCAAAATTAGGCAAACAGATATATTCATATTAATGAAGTCACAAATTAGAATTGAATACAATTAATAAAAAGATACCCATGAAAATGAAATTAAAAAGAAATGGAATTGTAGGTAGATGGAGCAATAAAACTAACAGCTGAATTTTGATTGGACATTTTCACTGTGTAAGGTTGTATCTATGTAATTAATGGAGAAGCATCAAGTGCATTGACTAGGAAGAGATTATGTTGGAAAATAAAGATGTGGTGCATAAAATTAATTTATTTTTATTATAAATTAACGGATTGATTTAAATAGCTAGACAGAATGGAAAACACTCATCCAAAAATAAAAACAGAGAAGGTAAGAAGAAAAATAAAACTACAGAAAAAATTACTAAATATCAGCAACAAGTTATAAAAAAAAAAAAAAAAAAAAAAAAAAATTACTTTTTAATGTTAGTAATTTGTTTTAGTAACCACTACCCTGGTTTTTCTCTCTTTATGATACAAGATTTCATACATTAATGAAATCATACTCAAAAGATTTTTGTGGATATGATAGTTCCAAATTTCTTACAATCTCTGAATCTTTGGAAAATTTTCATTTACATTTCACAAAATGAGATAAAAAAAGAAATATTCTGTCAACCACTAGGGACTAAAATTCTATAAAAATTTATACTTTAACATTTTGGAAAGCAAAAACAAACCTTATTAAAATACAAAAATTGAATCAAATATTAAATGCACTTAACTTCAATTCTACCCAAAAACTTTTTTCCAGCTTTTGCATTAAAAACAAATTTCTTTTTTCTTTTTTAAGAGACATTTCACAACAAATTATGTCTAAAATATTTCAGAGGCCTTAAGAAATTTTAAGTAAATTTCTACTTATTGAATTTTATATAAATAAATGACCCATATACTGCTTTTGTTCCCCCTAACCTATAACTCAATATTTGTTATATCCTCATTCCTCAAGACAAGTGTTGAACGTTTTGAGAGCCTGATTCACTGCATTTCGCCAGTACTATATCTAGAACCATGTCTTCTTTCAGCTTCAATTTCTTGAGGTCATGGATGACATTTTATCTTCAAAATTTTTAGGGATATCCTTTGCCACAATTTCCATTAACTCAGTACACTGATTAAATCATGAATGATTTTGTGCTACATGCCCAATGCATTGTAGTCTTTGAGTGGTCAGTAACAAATCCAGAGGAAGGATGCCCAGATATTTGTAAAAATATATCATGCTGTTAGCAGGATTGACACTACATGTCCACCTGATTATAGAATGATCCTTTCATACCAGACATGACTTCTCAGCATACATACTCTTAGATTCATCAGTATAGGCCAAGAAACTATGAATGCAAGAGTTGTAAACATTGCCTTGAGTGCAACAAGGCATCTAATGGTTCATCAATACGAGAAATAATTCAATAAAATTACTCCAAGCAGTTCTAAATCTAACAATTGTTGCAGACAAAAAAAAAAAAAGAAGTCACCCAGGTAACAGAAAGAATCAACTACCTCAATTTTATGATTATTTACCAAAGCCACATCTACTACACCTAAAGCTAGCATCCTCAACAAGGTCACCACAAATGCCACTGTTCCTCATAAACCCAGTCAATACAACCAGAACAGAAAAGAAGAATTGCTACCAACACCTAACAAACAGATGCAACATGCCCATTTTCCAGAGTCATGTAAGGTAGCACAGCTCATCATAAGTGTATCATAAGTGTATTAATATTATATAATTTAGTTATTTTGGTTTCATTTAGAAAAAAAATGTTTTGTAAATTTGACAGTGTTACTTAAAAAATTATTCTAATTTAAAACTGGACTTCTTGGTTTGTTCTTGAGATGTAGGCATTTTTCTTCAGAGTGCGTCATCACTTTAGAATTTCCTTCCAAATCTATCCATTGGGTATCAGTATGTGTGATATTGTATTCTTTCTGAGGAGTGACATGTTATGGTCTGATGTAGATTTTTATTTACATAATCCAGTCACCATTGATAGGCAAGTATAAGCAGCTGATGCTTGGGAACTTCAAATTCAAATCTACTTTTTTTAAATTATAGTGGAGTGACATTGCATAAATGCATTATTTCACAAGCAATCAAAATGACTAGTAAAGTTATCCAAACCACACTCATTACATTAGCATAACCCACTCACACTTTGAAAGTACTTCAGGGATTAACTAAATAAGACTTAATTGACCGAGTAATTTAAAATATTAATCTAAGTCTCAACATTGCTTTATAATCAAGTATATTCAAGGAAATAACAGTGAGAGAACAATGCAATCTGAGAGATTATTCTGAGAGCCAGTCTCCAAAGTAGATTGAAACAGAGCTGTGCCCTAGCCATGACACATTTTTGGATTTTCTACATCCACATGCTTTCAGAATATCTGATAACAGCGTTTAATTGCATACATCGCATGCCTCAGAGTAAACACTTGTGTCGGGTCCCAATCCAGGAGATGCTATTCATTGATGATGACACCTTGGTGTCTCACACAAAGACTGATCTCCAGAGGCAAATCAAATCCTTGCCAAGAGGTTGGTTTCACTATCAATCTGAAGTAGACAGATCAAAAGCCAGGATATCTTCAGCATCAGTATTGGAGACTGCATCCTAAAAGTGATAAATGAATTCAACAGTCTCTAGTAACATTTCATCTTGACAGTGGGTAACAAGGAGATAGAGAATGCAGCCACAGCCAAGCTGTCTATAGTAAATACAGGAAAAATAATGGCCACAAAGCATACAGAACTTGTATTCTTCTATAAGGCAACAAAAACTTGACAAGCTATATGCATCAAAAGCAAAGCCTCAACAGTTTCTGCTTGCTGTGGTTGCAATGTATCCTGGGTATTTTCTGAAAGGATAGTGTATTGGACTAGGGCAAAGCATGCTAAAGATGTATGCTCTCTTGACCACACCAACCAAATGCAAGACTGTTGTATCTCAAAAAACATAACATCAGCTTCCATGAGCATGGACCGAAGAATTAAGGACAACAAAAATATCTGCCACAGGCTGTCGACCATACAGAAGAGCCACATCTTAAAAAAAAAAAACAAAGATTCAGAGGATGTGTGATCCATACTACATTAGGACAGTATTAAAAATCAGTTCAATGATTTAGAGATATCTTTCTTAAACAAATTAAATTCCTCTTGATAGAGAACATGATGAGAAACTGCATGTATTGTATCCAATGCAGTTGTGATAAGGAATACAAGGTAACATCAGTCACCCACCCAAAATCAGGAGTGGAAGAACATTAAAAGACAAATCTGGAGAAAGACATTGAAATCAGGCAAAAGAGAGCAGCAAGACAATACAAAAAATATACTCACTTTTACATAATTATCACTGTGGAAGCGAGCAAAATATAACATACAATCCAAAGCAAGCACACCAGGAGGAGTTTGCTGAAAATCCTCTAAAGGATTTGCAATATTCTGTGAAAGAAATTTTTTTTTTAAGTTTGAGATGGGGGGGGAAAAAAAACAAAAAACAAAAACTCTTATTAAAACTTTATAGCAAAATAATTAAACATGATAATATTGACAGAAACACCAATTAGATAATATTGACAGAAACACCAATTAGAACATATTTAAACAGTAAAAATGAAACAGTTCCAAAACTGATTTTCTCCAGACATTTCAGAATCTATCAAGTAGCAAAGAAAGGTAGGCTTACTGAAAATCCAAGCTTCTTAGCATCTTTTGAAGTATCCTTTGTGAAATCACGACTGACAGTTATAGTTTTTCGGGAAGAAACCTCACCTTCAAAATCAAAGGCTATTTTCTGAAGTTCAGTGATGTCATTAGCGTTCTATATAAAAAAAAAAAAAAAAAAAAAAAACACAATCAGAATTAAAAAAAAAAAAAAGTACATAAAATAGAATTCAGTGTTTGTTGAAAAGCTGACCTTTCAGTACAACATTAATGAAATGCAATCATAATTCTGGATTCTAGAAATAAAAGGAATATCTTTTTTGTTAGTGCATAGGAGAGTTCAAGTATATATTCTTGAATAGAATTTAAGTAAATTTTATCATGTTTATTCATGAGAATAGGGAAAGTAATATTGGAATCATAACAATATACCAAAATTTTATGATTCAATCAACTTGCTGGAATATAAATACACAAACATCCATCCATTACATAATCATGACAACATAATATATTGCCCACAGAAGAAAGAATAAGAGAATATTAGTGATTGACATATTTATGTATGCACAACTTTGGTTAAAAGATCAACAATAGTTATTTCATAAGGAGTTTTCATTATTTTTATGTATTTCACTTAAGATATAGAAAAACTAAAAAATCTTTAACAAAGAATTTCACTAGTTTTTAACTAAAATTGTATAATTGAAAAATTGCTGCTCAAATACATCCAATTCATATACACAGGCTATCCCAATTTTCAACAGAAAATTTCAGGACATTTTAATGGATTGACAGATGGGACAGTACCCAAATAACAAATGATATAAACTGCTTAATTCATCACGAGCATTGAGAGGAATAATAAAAATGATAATCTATAACAAACCTGCCTCTCAAAACAAAATTAGTCATCTTTCTCCATCAATGTTAAAAAATTTTGCTTGAAGATTATAGTTTCTGATTCCAAATCAGTGCAATCAGAACTTAAGTTTTTTTCACTTAATTAGTTTATACAAGGATCAAACAGACTCATATAGATTAATGAAAGCAAACCAAATGAAAGCAAGGCCAAAACAGTTTAATCGACCAATGTTGCAAAGTTTAAAGTAACAATTTTCCTTAATAATGTTCCTTAAAATGTCAATCACTATTGCTGAAAGGCTTTACAAGGTAAACTTAAAAGTAATCAAATCAATAAAAAGATATTCCTTAAAAGTAAAACCATAATTACACCACTTCAAAATTTACATCAATCAACACACTTCTTCAACTAATTTTGAAGTTCTTAAACAGAAGTAGAGTTGTTAAGCTTTTACAAATCAGATTCTAATCTAAAGTTATCAAAACCTGAAATAATAAAGTAATAAGGATGCAAAAAAAAAAAAAAAAAAAATTCAAATTTTTAGTTTATACAAGTCATTATTTTAAGTTTTTTTTAAACATAGGTCTCTTTAATTTTTTAAAATTTTCCAAAAAAGTTGTACACCCAAAACAAAATTGTAGATAAACTGTCCAAAGTTTAAGTTTTATTTTGCATTGAGTACATTCAACTGTTACAGTCATATTCAGAGTTGGATGTGCAACAACTTTTTTGAAAATTAGAGAGAAAAAAAAAAAAAAAATTTTAAAACAAACCTTGTCAGTCAAGTTTTGTTAAATGTTTAAATTAATTTTTGATGCCCCCTTTTTTTACACTTACTTTGTTATTCATAAACCCATGATGCAATTGGTTGAAAAAAAAAAAAAAAAAATCAATGGCAAAGCTCAGACAAATTTAACAACACATTTGCCACATGAAATTTATGTTGCTTCTCACTCTTGTCAAGAATTGTAAAAAGAGCAAAGTAGTTTAATCAAGTGGAATAAAATGCTCTTTTCCACAAGAATTATCAAGTTCCTTGAAGTTCTTGTGAAATTTGTATAAACATTTTTTATTCATCAAGCATATCTAAATTCATTAATGGATAAGCCACCAATTAGAATTGTAAATAATATTGGTTTTCTGTATTATTAAATTAGACTAATTACTTTTGGCTTTTCATGCATGCTCAAAACAAAGTTCACTGATATGGAGTATGCTGAAAGCTTTTACCTGGCCCACTAAAAGGAAAATTATATCAGTTCCGATGTTTGATCATTAAATACTGATTTTGGTAAAGTGGGTGATGCCAAGAACTTTTCAACACCCTCTTGTATGCCAAAATAGTGAATTTATTTCGATTTTGGATAATTTTTGTTTGAAATTTCAAAATGTCATCCTAAAATGTTTCCTCTCTTGATATTTTTCTGTTAAAATAAAATATACTGCCAACAATACTTACATCCAATATTGTTAAAAAAATTTACATGGCCAAAATAAACAACAAATTTGATTATGAACATCATTTAAAATAAAATCACTATTTGAAAATAGGCATTTACAGTTGTGTTCAATTCGCTTATTTACAAACGAGATCCATATTAGATAGAGAATATGTAGACAATTACCTTTGCTGGATCTGGTGGTGAATTCATTCTCTCTTCATTCAAGTTCAACATAATCTGCTGCAATACACTCAGTTGGTGGGCCATGTCTGTATCAATCGTCTTTGACTTTAAAATTATATGCTGTAAATAAGGAGGAAAAAAAATCAGGTCATTTGCTAATGTCTATGCTTTTTACAAACTTTTTTTTTTAATGTTTTAATCAGTATCAACAATTTTTATTCCTTTTATATATAAAAATAAAACCAGAAAATGTATGGACAAAACATTTTATCTAGTTGTGCGATCATTGTATTCTCAAGTGAAAAAAAAAAATTTGTATGTATCAGTACATTTTTAAAATCTAGCTCAATATTACACTATGTCATCAATTGAAATTTTTAAAAACAAAATTCACAAGGATTGAAATGAAGTGGTATATTAAATTTTTCATTTTGATTGAATATATTGTATATATTGACTAACTAAAATTACATCATCAGAGTAATGGATTGCAGCTCAGATTGAGGAATCCAAGAACCGAGTTGGAATTCCAGTTTAGTTCATTACATTCACTTATTTATGTGCTAATACCCTTTGGAAAGGTATGAATCCAACTCTATGGGTAAATAGGACAGGCCAAGTTCTATAGTCTTGGGTGGAAATTGGTCAAAGGAGAAGGAAAACGGATTCAAAACTGTATGTAGCCCTGGCAAAGCATATACCATGCAGCTAAGGTACAGATCATAAGCATTGTTGATGATCCCAACTACAGTCAACTCCTAGAACTACATTATGTTTCTGAAAAATAGTGTACTGGTTTGATTTTCATTAGCATTTCTTTTTCCAAAGACAAATGTTTTCTCACTTTTATTGTAAACTGACACCTGATTGAAGTCAAGAAATATTAAATCACATGTCTTAACATATATGGAAGAAACAGAAATTAGTGTATATAAAAAAAAAAACAAAACAAAATACTTAGTAAAAGAAAAATTAACAACCATTCTTTTCACACATGATTTTCAAAAGTTCAAACAAAATGATTTAAACAGGTTTTAAAAGATTCATATATAATGTCAAGATAAAAATACAAAGTTTACAAATGTGTTCAGACAGACAAGAGCAATATGAGCACAACCATAATGGAGTGCAACTGTACATGATTAGGATCCTAGTTAAAATAAGGAATATCAAAACGTCAATATAAATGTCTTAAAGAGTCTATGGAACATGAAAATGTTCATTTTAAAGGGTTGCCAATATTTGTTGATGTTCAGGGAAAAAAAATATTTCAAGACAATCATCATTACACAAAAATAAATAGTTGGTTTATTGAAGAGGGGGGGCCTCACTTCCACAGAAATTCATGTCATATGGTTACATCTCTAACACACACAGTTGTAAGCAAAATTAAAATTCCTCACTCATTGCCAAATAGTGGCAAATTTTGTTTTCTAATTTTCATTTTAGTCCTATAGACTGCTTGTGTAACCTACATAGCTTTCATTCTATAAACTAATAACTTGGTATCTATTCTAAATTAGTACTATAAATATTTTGTATACACGTGACAAAATGGTACAAAAGATTGTGGAAGTCTTACAACCTTCATTTTTATCTTCAATCAGAACATAAAATAACAAAATGATTACAATTTTCCTATTGCTTTTTTAATTTTTTTTTTTCAAGTGACAAGTAAGGTAGTAAAAGTAGATACAAGTTCATAATTTGAGGATGAATACTTACATCAATGATGATATTTCGGAAACTTTTAGACTGTAAGTTTTCAGTCATTTGCTGGAAAAAATTGAAAGGATAATTTATTTAAAAACTTTATCTGGTATGTAATATAATCTGAAATAGTAAACATTTTTAAAAAGGAAAATATGGAAGAAATATTTCAGACTTTCATAGCAACATTGTATAGATATAAATATATCTAAAACAGAAACGTTGATTACAACAATTTACTCAATATAAACTTATATACAAAGAGTTTAATAATACACATTTAGAACACAAATAGGTAAACTGAGATAATCCACGAGACAATTCAAAAAAAGAATTAAACGAATATGAATGCAGACACAAAAAAATTCAAATTTAAAGAACTGCAAATAAAGCAATGAATTATGTCCATTTGATAGTAT